TCCTGTTGCCAGAGTCGCATAAAGATGTAAATTGCTCAGCTTTACCACCACATTACTAAAACCCAGAACTAATCAAAAGCTGTGGATGGATTGCTATTTTCATGTGACAAATCTTGTGTGCAAAGCGATGTGGCCTGAGAGAAAGGAGAGAATAACTTTTCTACTTTCCTCAATCCCCGTACTACTGGTGACATTCAACCTTGTAGACCGTCAGCTCTCCCTTGACACCCCCCACCCTTTTCAAAGGCCCCAAAGCGGCACTCCACCCTGATGTTTGTTGTTTGTTACTTGAGGGTAGGTGTGGATAATGACTATCGATGAGACTCCCAGAATGGACAGAATCCCTGCTGTAAATAGTGCTAGAAGCAGCAGGATTTAGAGGGAGAGAGAAAGGAGGGAGGAAGGAGAGGGAAGGTTAAGGAAGAAAAGGGAGGCGATAGTAAACCAGCAAGGACAGGTAATTCCCTAAATTCTTGTTAATGTCTCTGTAACTGCCTGAGGGGGTTAAAGCTAGTCACCCCAAGATGTGCTTCGGTGTGTGGATTCTTTTGAGCTAAAGTCAACTGTAGCTGAGGGCTCAGGAAAAACTTCCGCATCAGAGGTAACCTCTTTTGTCTCCAGAGAAGGACAAATTTCTATTCACTTAACAACTGTTCTTATCATTCTCCTCTTATCATTCTTCGATGACCCTCTGAAGCCCTTAAGGGACCTTACCCCATCCCTAGCTCACAATGCACCCATGTTCCCTTTCTGTCTCTGACTCTCTCATGGATGTGGGGTTCCCATACACACAGGGTGGGGTGAAAGCAGGTTTACAGTTGTGAGCATTAAATTTGGTTATTTTCTCTTGCTAATCTGTCACATATCTATTTGATCATTAGGCCAGAGGAAAGAACCCTGAGGGCAGTTTCTCCTCCCTCACTCCCATGACCTTCCTCCAATCTGATGATCCATCCTCCTCACTTTCTAAGACTCTCTAAGACTGTGATTCCTAGAGGTCTTGCTATTTTCCAGAGAATGCAAGTATCTCTCACCTTACCTGGGCTACTTTACAGCCAGGGGGCACCTAGGTACTGGATGTGTTCTGTGAAATACATCCTCGGGTGATTTTGTCCTTGTGTGAACATCATACAGTGCACTGACACAAACCTCGATGGTACAGCTACTGCTGTAATTGTATGCGCCATAGTTTTATATATGACTGGCGGCCCAGTAGGTTTGTTTATACCAGCAAAGCCCTGACAGTGGGCTATTCTTTTTGTAATGCAAGTGCCTGACTTAAGCTTTGATTGCTGAGGCATCCACTTCAAAGAAGCATCCACTCCAAAGACAGCCATCTGGAATAAACACAGGGCCAGCCACAGAGGAGATCAAGACTCAGGCCACCTCTCCCACCGAGACCCCTTTGTTTTAGAGATCTTGGTTGATTTGATAACTGACACTTTGGTCCACTTGTTTTCTCTTCCTGCAATTTAAATTCTCACCAATAAACAGTGAGCCTGCAGAGCCCTAAGTGCCCTCCCTGCCCCCCGCACCCCCACCCCCATAAAAGCAGATCCCTAGGCCAACTTTCTCTCTCGCCTCCACCTCTGTGTGCTCACTGGTATGCACCCAGGGCATGTACCCTGATCAGAAATCAAACCACTGACCTCTTGGTTCATGGGTTGATGCTCAACCACTGAGCCACACCAGCCAGCCTCTATACTTTTTTTTTTTAGTAATCTTACTAAAAGTCATGGTTTTAAATAATGTCTATGTGCTGTCAACATTTATGTCTATGTGCTGTCAAAATTTATTTGTCCCAAATTTATGTCTCTAGCCCTAACCTCTCCCCTGAACTCTGGGCCTATATATCAAACTGTCTAATCAATACTTCTACCTGGATGTCTTATGAGCAACCCAATATAATCAAAACTGAGCTGTCCCACCTCCTCCACCAAACAATATCTCCTGCAGTTCTTGATATTAATTGAGAAATTACTGGAAACTCCAATCCTTCCAGTTGATCATCCTCAGGGTCATTATTATATACAGTATGTGTATGCATATATATATCCCCTATATAATAAAAGGCTAATATGCAAATAGACCAAACGGGGGAACAACCAGAACAACCAAACAACCGGTCGCTATGACGTGCGCTGACCACCAGGGGGTGTGCGTGGAATATGGCGGGCGTTGGCTGCTGTAAGATGATGAAGCAGGTGAGCAGGGGCGCCAGACCAAGGCGGAGCGCTGGTCACTGTCATCAGGGAGAGCCTCTGGTAGTTACTGAAAATTCTTTGCTCCCGTGCACCCGGTGCTTGCACCTGTTTGCCAGCGCCAGCCCCGCTCGCACCCGCTGCCGGTGCCTTGGCGCCCATCCGCAGGTGTGAGCGGCGGCTGACAGCCCCAATCACCCCTCAGGGCTTCTCCACCTCCCCGTTCCTGAGGGGAGATAGGGGGCCAGCAGCCGCCTCTCGCACCCGCAGCCGGTGACAGCCCCACTCGTACCCACTGCCAGTGCCAGAGCTGCCACTTGCACCCACTGCCAGTGCTGGCCCCGCTTGCACCCGCTGCCAGTGCCCGGCGCCGATCCTGATCACTTGGCGCCATCAGTGGGTGCGAGTGGCGGCTGCTGGCCCTGATCGCCCCTGAGGGCTTCTCCACCTCCCCCTGCTCCTGAGGGGCAATTGGGGGAGCAGCTGCCGCTCGCACCTGCTGACAGAGCCGGCCCCAATCCCTCCGAGACTTCAGTGGGTGCAAGTGGGCCCAGCATCGTCAGCACATGGGAGCAGCAGTGGCGGAAGCAGGGCTGCCAGCAGACAGGGGACAGGGGGCCATGGCGGGAGGAGCCAGGCGGGGCTCGGAGGATGGGCCAAGACTCGCCTCTGTGCCTACTGCAGCCTCACGGCCCACAGTTCCTTTCAAGAATTTGTGCACTGGGCCCCTAGTATATAATAAAAGCCTAAGCAACCGTTAAGGCAGACCAACCAGAATGACCAGTCACTATGATGCGCACTGACCACCAGGGGGCAGACGCTCAACACAGGAGCTGCCCCCTGGTGATCAGTTCGCTCCCACAGGGGGAGCGTCTCTCAGTCAGAAGCCGGGCTCATGGCTGGCGAGTGCAGCGGTGGTGGTGGGAGCCTCTTCCGCCTCTGCGGCAGTGCTAAGGAGCAGCAAGCAGGAGGGCAGTAAGGAGTGAGGGGTCCTGGACTGCGAGAGGGCACAGGCCAGGCTGAGGGACCCCGCCCCCAGTACACAAATTTTGTGCACCAGGCCTCTAGTATATATATAAAATTGATTTGAGAGAGGAGGGGAGAAGGAGAGAGAGAGAGATAGAAACATCAATGAGAGAGAATCATTGATCAGCTGCCTTCCACAAGCTCCACACTGGGGATCAAGCCTGCAACCCAGGCATATGCCCAGGAATGGAAGCTCGACCTCCTGGTTCATAAGTCAACGCTCAACCACTAAGCCATGCCAACCAGCCCTCAGGGTCATTCTGGACTTCTTTTTCCCTCTGATACCTCATGTCTAATCCACCAGCAAGTCCTACTGGCTCTTAAAATAGACCTAGAGCTGAGCACTTCTCATCATCTCTCCTCTGCCATCATCTCTTGCCTGGATCACTGCAGTAGCCTCCTAGCTGGTCTCTCGTCTATTAGCAACACTGCAGCCAGAGTAACTCTGTAAAGTTGTAAGTCAGATCATATCACTCCACTGCTCCCAGCCTTCCCAAGACTTCTCATTTTACCCAAATGCTGTACTAACAAAGCCCATGCCTTTGCTCTAGCTGAATTGGCCTCCTTGCTATTCCTCCAACACCAGACACGCTCTTGTACTTATCCTGTCCCATCTGCCTGGAACAATCGCCCCCCCCCACCGCCCGCCCAAAAAAATGGCTTGGCTGGCTCCCTACAGTCAGATCTTCCCTAAAATGTCACTTTTCAGTGAGGTCTCCCGATAATTTTGCCTTCTAATACTAGTACATACACAGCTTTACTTCTTGTTTCTCTCTCCCCATGAGGGCAAAGATCGCTGCTGTAACTTCAGAACACTGTCTGGAATATAGCAGGAGCAAAACAATATTTGTTGAATAAATGACTGCCCCTGAGTTTTTAGTCTTTGGGTCTCGCTACATCTGGTAGAAGGAGGCAGCACGCTCAGATATGGGCCTGGTGGCATGAATGCTGTGGCTGAGGGGTCCCATGCAAGCAAGAGACGGGTCCTTTCACTAGGCACTGCAAAACCTCTGTGAAATCTGAAACCGATACTTGAAGTCCCTGGATCTTTTCCAATGTCTCCACCTCTTGGCCTGGAGCTGAGGGTAAGAAAATGTTCTGAAGCCATGCTACAAACTTCAAAGAATAGTGATTCACAGGTTAATCATAACTAAGCTAACTATTCTAAGCTACATTTCTTGACATACATTAAAACATCTATCCTAAAAAAAAAAAACTAGTTTCTGTCCTGAATCAATAGTCTACTAATGGCTTCTGACTATGATTGCTGTTTTATACCAAGATAAAGTTCACTGGAAATAACTGAGCTAATTTTTACCGAGGCGACACCCCAAACCAGATGTTATACAGTCGAGGATACTTGCTTGCTTTTTCTTGTGTATTGACAAACTAGAAAGAAAGGTTGTTATTTCTTTTACATAAGCTTTTATTTTGAAAGATCAGAAAATTATTTGACTATTTAAATCTATTATTTTTTACTAATTCAAGAAAGGATTTTTATACCCGAAGCATCCCAAGGAGTCTTCAGAATAACAACTTGCTTCAGTACATGGAAAAACCATACTTTCAAAGTCTCAAAATAAGTTTGGAATATTATGTATCACTTTAATATAAAGATGTCATTGTTCCATATCAGTAATTCTCCAACTTGTTAATCTAATGGCTCTCTTTATGGGCCCTAGGTTCCACCTAATATCTTGCTGAAAATGCTAATCTCCTGAAAAACGTATTCTGATTTGCTTTGCAACATTTAATTTTAATTAAAATTAAAAATTACCCCAAGAGTCTCTGGTCATCCTTCCTCTTGGCATTACCTTAAAGGGAAGAGAGAAGTTTAGGGGCAAGGTTCCTGATGCAGAAGAGGCTGACTCACTCTGCAGTTTACCATCCACTGTTCAGAACCACGGGGTCTGGCCCACACCAAAAGTAACTACCATGATTCAAAGGCAGCAAGACAGATAGTGAGTAAATGTAGAGGTTAAAATCAGTAAAATCACTGGTGTTTCAAAGATATACAAATATGAATGATACAATGACTGTGCCTTTTTAATTAATCAATGCACAACTAGTGGCTGGCTCATGGTATGTACTCAAGAAATGTTTGCTGAGTAAAGAAATGAATGCACAACTCTATTTGTCAGATGCAGGCTGATGAACCTCTCCTACAGACAGGAAAGAACTGTGATGTGCTCCAATGAGATTCTCTCGGTGCAGTGTGTAGTCCTAGTCAGGGATTCCACAAGTAACTTGTGCTGGGAATTCGGAGTATGTGTACTAACCCTGAATGTTTCCACTGCTTCAGAAAGCAACCCTTTTATCAGATTTGAGGGTATTATGTTTTAGATACGTACCTTAATTAATTAATTAGCAATTCATTTGATCTGAAGCTCCTTGAGAACAGAGAGCACATCCATGTTTCTCGCTGTGGTATATACCCTGCACAGTGCCTGGCACATGGTAAAAACTCAATGAACAGTTGCTGGATGAATGCGTGGTTGAACCCAGTACCATCCTGAAGCCAACAAAGTGACATTTCATTCTCCAACACACAATCAGAAATGCCTCCTAATAGTCTACGCGGACTCTACATAATGATTCCAAATTTAAAACTCCTAATTCTCAGAGCCAAACACTGGCTCATCTGAAACTACTAATACTGGGCTTTGTATTTCCAATAAAGGAAGTTTAGGTTACTTGAACCCACCCTCTCACAGAAAAACAGCTTTAAAAATTAGAGGAAATATAAAAACAAACAAACTTAAAACTATCAACACATTGACAAGATGGTAATGTACAGGCCAAAACCACAGAAACTGCATTGCCCCAGGGTGCTGGCCAGTCGCAGAAAATGGAACTTTTGGTTCAAGGCTCTCTGGGAAGAAGGGGCCCAAAACTCAATGCCAGAGTGGCAAGGGGAGGAGTCCAGAAGGAGACCTTTCATGTAATAAGCTAAGATTCCAACGGATTCCTGAGAGTAAGTCAGAATTGACCAGCCCTCTTGCAAAATTACAGCTGGGTCCCTGGTCATCCAAGCTACCTTAAGCCTTGAAGTCAGTTTAAGGTGGAACTGGACTGAGAGTGACTAGTGTTTCCATGTGGGAATTCCTTCTCGGGAAATTTGGTTTTTTGAATCCTAAAAAGAATCAGCTGAGAAATCTGGAAACCCAGAGAAAATACGCTAATACTCCTGTGAGAATAAAGCTTAACAATTAGTGTAGAGATGTTCCTAGTTTGAAGGAATCCACATACGTTAAGTTGAAAGAAAGAGCAGAAAATACCCACACAGAGTAAAAGATTAAGGTTCCCTGGGACAAGAGTACCTAGGAGAGAAAATAATCAAAATCTAACCAGATTGTTTTGCTTGTAGCTGTTGCTATGTTACGTGTGTGTGTGCGCGCGCGCGCGAACAGTGAATCATTCTTGCAAATAAGGTAAATATTAACAAGGTTATGTGCAGAGTATATTTTGCACAAATCTTATAAGCGATGGTCCAAGAATATCAAGTTTTAGAAGCAAAATAAGGCCTTACATTGGCAGTTCTGACACATCACTACATCCCCAAAGCCATAGCAAGTCCCAGGATTCTCCATCTACCAGTTTTGAGATATACTTCTAAACTATTCCTGCATTAAATACATAGGTGGCAGAACAAAAGCCTCCCACATTCCAGCCAGCAAGAATTTCTCAATAACGATACTTTTGAGAATTAATAGTGTTTCACAGAAATGTTATGTCTTCTATCCTTAAAAATACCACGCAGTGTTTTTCAATGGGTATGTGCGTTAATGGACTGGTACTACGTGATGAAATTGGTATTCTTCTTTATTCAACTGATCTTTTCAGGACTAATTGAATATTCGGTTGGTATTCTTACTATGTGTTTTTTAATTCTAAAAAATTAATACTGTAAAAGATCTACAGTAGGTGGGTAGAGTCTTAATCAGAAAGACTTTTCTTTATTTGAATCCACTAAATACCACATTCAGTGTATTAATGTTGACTTGATTTTCTTTTTTATATCAATTGCTAATATGGTGCAATTACTTATTTCTTGCAATCACTGACAGAGCCTTTTAAGGTCATCTTTTTCTGTCTTCATAAAAAGCGTATCCAACAATAAAATTAGTCCCTTGAAAGAGGAGGAAATTAATCAGTTTAAACACCAGGCTTTACTCCCTGAATCCAGTCTCGTACAATCTCTAATCTTGACATTTAAGGCCTAAGATTTAAAGAACTTTTGGTACAATATTTACTTAATTCTGGTTGGTATTATTTTTAGTGTTTCTGTGCCTCTCAATGAAAATGTTCAGCCTACTGAGAAGACAAATACTGTGTATTAGTCAGTGTGTCATTTCCCACACACTGCAGGCAGTAGACTTATTAAATACGTGATGAACTGAATTTAGTTTAACTGGATGAAATTGAATTGAAGTTGCTTGTTCTATAGTTTCCTGTTTGCTGCAGATACCTCTCAGCTTGTTTTTTTCTTTTCTTTACATAAGGCAGTAAGTAGTCTGTGTATGATATTGTCTTAGTGGGACTGTTTGTGATGCCCCCTGGTTCTCATTAGTGTGGTCTACACTCCCTGTGTATCTGACTGTCTTTTACTGTGTGCTAGTCCTGGTGTTTGGAAAACTTTAAGACCTAAGAGGAAAGCACCTCATTCCAGAGAGAGAATTGGCACTTGTTTCTTTCAGTTGTTGGTCAGCAGCTTCTAAATTCTGCAAGGATAGCCCTAGTAGGTTTGGCTCAGTGGACAGAGCGTCAGCCTGCAGACTGAAGGGCACATGCCTGGGTTGCAGGCTCAATCCCCAGTAGGGGGCGTGCAGGAGGCAGCCGATCAATGATTTTCTGTCATCATTGATATTTCTCTCTCCCTCTCCCTTCCTCTCTGAAATCAATAAAAATATATTTTAAAAAAATAAAATAAAATACATTCAGCAAGGAGAGTAATCTTTGGGGTTCAGGAACAAGAAATTGGAATTTCTGGCAATTCCTAAAATTCCTAAGTATTTTTAAAAACTTTTTATTTACATGTTCTTAAATGATAATATTAGTGACCTTAATAATCAACAGTGAATAATTTTCCTGTGTTAGTTTAGGATTGTACTAAAGTTTTAGATATTTTTATATCAGTATATAGATGAGAAATATATATAAAATAAATGAAGTTTATTATTATGACGAACCAAAATATTGTGACAAGATTATATATTTTAATGACATGTAGAAGTGTGTGTTTTTTGTGTGTTTTTTTTTACTTCTTACCCAAGGATCCTTTCAGAAAATCACTCGATTTCCAGCCTTCTGATAATACTCTTCTTGGGATTTTGAATTATGTTTTTTCATTCACTTTCAGAAATCTAAAGGACGAGGGAGTAGGTATGTGTACTTGGTCTGCCATCTTGGCCCAGTCTCTCTGGGTCACCATTCTCCTGCTTTATCTCTTATTAGTGTCCTGCAATTTCTAGACCCACAGAATACTTTTATTATTCACTATGCTGATGACATGCAGGTGCAGAGCCCTCGGGCACATGCCGAAGTGGCCTGAGGTCAGGTTCTCCTCGGGTCTTAGAACAACTGCTGTTGTCTCACTCTCTAACTTTTCCTACTTTGTAAATTATTTCTCCTGGTAGCCTGGTGGATATGAATGACGTCTCCAGAGGCTGGTCACCCCCAAATTAAGGAACAGCATTTAAACTTCTGAATGTGCAAGGTGGGAAGCAGTGAGCTGGAGTAGTTAAAACCATGGGCTCAAATCCTTGCTCCCTGGACTAGTGAGTTAATCTCTACAACCTTTAGTTTCACCACCTATAAAGTAGCCATATGAATTATCCCCGGTACCTTCAGGGTGGCTGTGAAGATTCTTTGTGTAAGTAAATGGTAACAAATGCTTATTAACAAGCTAAGAAATGTTAGTTGTTATTATTATTATTATTATTATTGAAAATCTAGTCTATAGACCACAAAAATACAAGATGCAGTTTTCTCATGAGTCTTAGCCTAGACATCTTCAGTCCTTTAGAAGGGCCAGGTTAAAGAAAGCTATATTTGGGGACTTCCCATCTACATGACTGCTATGGATGTCATAGCAGTATAGGAGGTATAAACGTCAATGAGCTGCAAACAAAGTCAGAAGGCCACAATGGTCATAAGATACATCAGTGGTTCCCAAACTTATTTGGCCTACCGCCCCCTTTCCAGAAAAAATATTACTCAGCGCCCCCTGGAAATTAATATTTTTAAAATTTTAATAGCAATTAAACAGAAAGATATATGTATTAATGTTTCCACCTTTTTCGTAAAATATAGTAAAGAAAGGTGTAAATTAGAAACATTGAAGTTTGAAATTATGAAACTATTTCTTGAACTCAGAATAGAAAGGTAATACAAAAAAAGTTAAAACAAATGCACCTGTGGCCATCACCGCCCCCCTGGATCGCTGCAGCGCCCACCAGGGGGCGGTAGCGCCCACTTTGGGAATCACTGAGATTCATCAAGACAGAGCAGTCTAATTGTGGTGAGAGAAGAAATTAGGTAATGAAAAAGCAAATCATTCTTTGTCAATCCAAGATGGTAACATATCCCTAAAAAATATGGGTAGGCTACTACTTGGACTTATGTCAAGAAATAAGTATATATTATTTCCTCATCACTTACCTCTAAGTTGCTGGAGTTCCATATTCAAATTTTCAATGTTGCTCTCGTAGAATGCTAGATTCTCCAGGGTCTCTGCCCTTAGGGATTCCTGTTGCTTCTCCAGCATTAAGTTTAGCTCTTCGTGAGCCCTGCTATACATATCCAAGTCCTGTTCCATTTCCTGAATTCTCACCAATACTAATGGACACTGGGAAGTTTGGTCCAAAGGCTTTTCGATATTCTCAGGGGCCTCCTTCTCTAGGGTCTCACAGGTAGGACGGTTACAGGTTAGGAGTTTGGGGGGTACCGCATTCGTTTTCTGCTGCACTGAGGGAGGCAGGGGAGCTGGGCGAGAGGGCCGCACTGCCAAGGGTGGCTCGGGTTTCAGGTTCTGGTCCACCAGCAAATGAGGAGAAGTGGGTGCTGGACGGGGTGGCGGTGGCCTTAGGGCCTTTCTCCTCCCAGGCAGCTCCTGCTGGGTGATTAGCTTCGAGGAACCTCGGACAATATCCTTCTCGGAGCTAAAGTCCATGATTGAAAAGTGGCGCAAAATTTTATCCGGTTCAGTGCCTGACAAGCTCTTCTCAAACTCTATCAGCTGTTGTGTCAACTTCGAATCCAGGTCAACGTTGCCGTCTCCCTGTGGAAGGGCCAATGCTTCCACAGCGGGCGCCATGTCTTGCAGACCAGGCTTCATCTCTGAACAAAAGTGGGCAGCATTTTTTTCTTTGAGTGTGTGGTACTTTTTGGAACACCTTGCCTTGCCCTGGAGTTGAGGGCTCAAGTGGCTAGGCCGGACCACCCTAGAGGCTGAAAGAGAAGAGCCTTCAGGAAAAGGAGACGCTCGCTGCGTAAGGGTTTTCAGCTGGGAGGATGTTTTCCTGGAAGGGAGGCTGGAATAGTCTCTAGTCCTTGCTTCTAGAGGAAAGGGGTCGGAGAACTGCCCTGAGCTCGGCTGGCTCCCTCCTGCTCTAGAATAATACTGGTTTTTCTGCAGTTGGGGGTGGAAAGGTACATGAGGTTGGGAGGAAACACCATTGACGACCTCTGAGGAATCCTTTGTGGCAGAGTCTTTGGCAAGAGGCTGTCCATGCCCTGTGCCTGGGCTTCTCGGCGGCCCCCTGGAGGTGCCCTCATCCCAATGAGAGATTGTGTTTACTTCATATTCAGAGGTCAGATGATCTGGGGGAGAAGCAGCTGTTTCAGAAATAATACAGTTGGACTTCTCTTCTTCATACTCATGAGATTCATGTCCTTTTTCTCCCAGTTCGAAGGAGTTCTCTGAGCAATCCAAAGACGTTTCAGGGACCCTGCTAAGGCTGCTTTCCTGTGGCAGGACCACAGTTTCCTCCACCTTTGTTTTAGGACATAAATTTACAAACCGGTAAGGAAAGATGCCTGTCCTGCCCTTCAGTGATCCTTCCAGCCAGCCATCTTCCAGGGTCCCCAGAATTCGGATCTTATCGCCCACCTCAAAATCCAACTCATTCGGCTCCAGGGCTTGGAACCTGTAGAGGGCGATTCCGTAGGTCCCTGGCTGCTCGTCCTCCTCGTCCGGCCCTCTCTCCTCTTCTCCTGTAGGGGTGTCTACTTCACCATTTTCCATGCAGTCATCATGATTTCCAGACCTCACCGACTCATCCACAGTCCTCAGGGGCCCCAAAAGTTCTACAAAACCTTCGGGGAAAATGCCTCTTCGACCCTCTAGTTCCCCTTCAAACCAGCCTGGCTCAGGAACTCCAATAATGGTAATCACATCGCCTTCTCTGAAGTCCAGCTCCTCATCCAGCTGGGCAGAGAGCCCCATCAGCGCCCGGGCCTGTCCCATTGAATAGTCGGGAATCTGCAGCAGGGCACTCTGTGAGTGCCACTGCCGGCTTTGTGAGGACAGGCAGAGCTCCCGAACACACGAGGACGGGAAGAAGCCCCGGGCACCCCAGCAGCTTCGGCCTTGCAGCCAGCCGGCAGTGGGAGCGCCATCGAGAATCACGAGGTCACCTAAAAAAGAGAAGCAAAGATAATGGCCCCAGTCATCACCCCAGAAGAATCCTATATAATAAAACCCTAATATGCAAATTGACCAAACGGCAGACCTACCAGTCGCTATGACGCTCACTGACCACCAGGGGGCAGACGCTCACCATAGGAGCTGCCCCCTGGTGGTCAGTGTGCTCCTACAGAGGGAGCACCGATCAGCCAGAAGCTGGACTCATGGCTGGTGAGCGCAGAGGCAGTGGCGGGAGCCTTTTCTGTCTCCACTGTAGGCTGGTGGTAAGGAACGAGGGGTCCCGGACTGCGAGAGCCCCGGACTGTGAAAGCTCCGGACTGCGAGAGACCCGAACTGCAAGAGGGATATCTGACTGTCAGCTTAGGCCCGATCCCTGGGGGAAATCGGGCCTAAGCCAGTAGGCGGACATCCCCCGAGGGGTTCCTGTGAGAGGGCGCAGGCCGGGCTGAGGGGGACCCCATCCCACAGTGCATGAATATTGTGCACCGGGCCTCTAGCATTACTCTAACTAACACTGTAAACCATCATTTTAAACATTTACCGAATTCAAGGAAATATACACCTAGAGTTTTAAGCAAAGAACACTTTTGACAACTTAGTGAATTTTGACAATTTAATGACAATATACTGAAAATTACTGTAAAACAGTGATTTTCAAAGTGTGGTCCATGGGATATGGGGCAAGGGGGTCCCCAAGTTCCTTTCAGAGGGTCTGAGAAGGTCAAAACTATCATATTGTCTTCATATACTTCACTCAAAACAACATGAAAACAGATACAAATCTGAGAATCCAGCTTTCTTTTATTAAATTAAACATTAAAGAGATCTGCAAAAATATAAAACAATGTTGTAAGACTCAAATGTTCATTGCTTAGAAAACTAGTTATTTTTGCTAAAAGTATACTATTTATATTAGTATGTCATGGCTTTTAAAAAATGAATAAACATTTTAAAATTTCTCAGTTTTTATAGCTAATATGGTAAAATATAAATAGACCCATGTAAGCAAAGCTCTTGTTGTCCATTTGCTAGTGATTCTTCAATTCTAACTCTCAAATAAAGAACTATACCTTCCCTCCAAAACAAGCTCCACGCTGCTAACTTCCTTTCTCCTCTAATTTCTTCCTTCAGAATATTTATTCCATTCATTACTTGCTCTTTGCTTCCACCTTCGTCCAACTCACGTTATCTCACTCTTATAAATCTTGCCCTTAGACACTGTCTCTTCCAGTCTACCAAGTGATTCATGCCCAAGATTATAACTATATCAATTTTATCATATCCTTTTCCTGCTCAAACATTTACCCTGAAGCATGAAGGCGTCTTCCTTCTGTCAAAGGCTTCTTCTCTAATAATCCTATTCTTACTACCTGGAATATATAAAAAATAAGTTTGCTCTGGATACTCTCTAAAGAGGTTTAGTTACTAAGCTACATGTTTCACCTCAATGTAACTTGGCATTCCTATCCAGTCATAATATCCCCTGCTCCCACCCCCAGCTATCCAATATATGTCACCTATGAGACCCTATTTCACACGACGGGACTCTCATTGTCTCCTATACGAGCCTCTTCATCTGAAACCTTAGCATGCCACTCTAAAGAACCTAGAAGACCACGTTCATCTTATGTAAATGATCATAGTAAATGATCCATATTACTAATTTTGACACTTAGATTTTTATATACTATACAGCCTCTAATGTAAAATTTTGTACTTAGTGGTAGGCACCCCATACATTTTCACTGATTTGATACTGTATTCCTGAAAAATAAGGTCTTGGTCCTATATTTCTATATTCCTTTAATTTATGATTCAATGCCCACTGGTCAGAGCTTACGGTCCTGATAACTACAAGCGATTTCCCCTCACCAGCTCTAAGGCCATTCCATCAGGGCCACAAGGGAGCTCGCTGGACACAGCTACTGTTCAGACACAATAGGCCTTTTGGTGAATAGGCCTGCTGGTGAATAAGAATAAAAGCATGCCATACCTCCTACTCTACTGGCTTTGAAATGAACTGGACTTCTTAAAGCTGTAGAATTATATTTTCCTTGTTTTGCCAGATCCCCATGAAACTCTTATAATAAGCCTTGTTTTCCTATTTTCAGCTGGGTGACGATCTTACTAAGCTTTATTACCTGACTAGAGGCTCGGTGCACAAATTTGTGCACATGTGGGGTCCCTTGGCCTGGCCAGCGATCAGGGCCAGCCAGCCGGGGGGAGGGACCTTCGGAGGTTGGCCAGCCGGCCATGGGGGGAGGGACCGAGGAAGGTTGGCTATGGGAGCACACGGACCACCAGGGACAGCTTCTGTATTGAGCATCTGCCCCCTTGGTCAGTGTGTGTCATAGTGACCAGTCAACTGGTCGTTCGGTTGACCAGTCCTAACAGTCGCTTAGGCTTTATATATATAGACAGACTGTCATTCTGTTGGTTATTTCTATATAATAAAGGTGATTTTTTAAAAAATCACCATTTAGCTTCCTGAAAAGCACTTTAGAGATCATTGTTCAACACCCTTATTTTATAATCCTGTTTGCTGAATTTTAGCATGAGTCTCTCATTTTCATCTGAAAGACCCATGAAGCTATTCCCCTGGCATCCTACGTAACCCCTTAGGAATGCAGGCTACCTAGTGGTCATTTCTAGACAAACATGAGGAACTCCTGGAGTACAGTGGCCAGATGTTGAGAACAGAAAACTAAGAATGTGGTGACTCTTAGCCTGAGCCTTTCACTCATGCACAATGAATCCCAGAGGCCACACTGCTTGTTTCTTCTGGTTGGATTGTTTTATTTAAACAAGAACTGCATCAGGAATAAATAAGAATGAATGCAAGTCTTCTTAGAATCTGAATACAAGTAATTTGACTCTGAGTATTAGATACCTCATTGAATCCTAATGCCCAGGGCACTATGTGCTTTATGCAGATTAACCATATATTTTACTTAGGTTTACATATGAGCGATATCAGAACCTTAATCCTGATATTTCACATCACAGATTTGACTGATAAATATTTGTAAATAAGTTGTTCAGCTTATTTTTTATTGGTCCTTTTCGAGGGATGAGGAAGTGGCCTAGAAACAAAGTTACAATGGGGCCTTGACTTACGAGTGTCCCGACTAACGAGTTTTTCGAGATACAAGCCGTCTCTCGGCCGATTTTTTGCTTTGAGTTGTGAGCTAAAATTCGGGTTACGAGCCAGCTTCAGATACCCCACCGCTAGCTGGCGCAGCGAACGTCACAGTGAACGCCACAACATCAGCCCAGCATCACGTGTCTCACTCATTCACTTTTTGATTTGACATACAAGTAATTTGAGTTACGAGCTCTGTCACGGAACGAATTAAACTCGTAAGTCAAGGTCCCACTGTATAGGCAAGGAATAAGCATTGTGTTATGTAGGGCAATGATTAGTGATATTCACCTCCCACTAATTTTTTTTCTCTTTTCTTTGTAATACTCTCATTTGTATGTGTGTGTGTGGGGGGGGGGGTGGGGGCAGGGGGGCTCTCTTTTTTTCCTCCCTCTCTTTATTTTTTGGTATAATCAGTGGCCCTGGCTGCATTGATCCTTCTAAGAGATAGACTTGTTGCTGAGTTTAAATATAACTCCAAATACAAGGAACAGTCCAAAACAATAAGATAGCGTTGGGAAAAGGAGAAAGGGTGACATCTGCTGGAAGAATCTCTGGGGTTCTAGTTAGAATCTCCCCGGAAAAATGTACATACACACAAAACTCCAGCTAATTATTGGGAAACAAGGTCCCCCAAAGCACCTCTGTGAACTCTAGGAATCCCAGGTTAAGAATAATAAACATAGCCCAGCCATTGTGGCTCAGTGGCTGAGCATCGACCTATGAACCAGGAAGTCCTGGTTCAATTCCCTGTCATGGCACATGCCCGTGGGTTTTGGGCTCGATCCCCAGTAAGAGGTGTGGAGGAGGCACCTGATCAATGATTCTCTCTCATCATTAATGTTTCTATCTCTCTGTTCCTCTATGAAACCAATAAAAAATATTTTTTTTAAAAAGAACAATAAAAATAGCTCATCTTTGCCCTGGTGTTTCTCAGTGGTTAGAACATTGGACTCTGCACCAGAGTCTTGGTTTTGATTCCCGGTCAAGGGCACATACCTGGGTTGGGGGTTTCCTCCCGATCCCCAGTCAGGGGGCATGGAGGTGGCCCTGTCTCCACACCCTCTGACTGGCCTGACGTGGGTAACAGCCCTCCCGTGGGAGGTGAGTAGGCACAAATAAGGTTCCCTGCCATCACACCTTGATCTATTCTTCCTGCCTTCCCAACACTGCTTAGCAAGGAAGTACACAGAACGCAGGCAGGGTCTCAGTGTAAAGTGAAGTGTAAGAAACTTTCAAATTTGGTTTTGAGATTAAGATCGAAATGCAATATTCCTTTCTTCTTACTGACCAAGGGTTAAGGAGGTTTGTGAGGTTTCTCCCTCTCCCTACCTTCTCTCTCTCTCTCTCTCTCTCTCTCTCTCTCTCTCTCTCAGGTTTAAAAAATTAAGCCATACTCCAAAGAGCAAGTAAGTAACAATATTAATAACATACCTTTGTATGTGTGTGTGTAGGGGGGGCAGGGGGCTCTCTTTGTTCCTCCCTCTCTTTATTTTTTGGTAGAGTCAGTGGCCCTGGCTGCATTGATCCTTCTAAGAGATAGACTTGTTGCTGAGTTTAAATATAACTCCAAACAAATTTTACATTTTGAGACCGTTTTCTGAATCATCACAGAATTGCATTGATATAAGTGTCTGTACTTATGCAGAAATGCACGGGCTACATCAAGTATACTTGTTGAAACAGTTAACAGTCCATCTTTAGAAGGTCACAGGTCTATTAGAGCAGTGGTCCCCGGACCACTGTGGTCTGTGAGGTCCGAAAGGTAGGCGACCGCTGTAGTAGAGTACAAAAGTGGGGAACACTTGGAATATCATCTGAGACCTGGCTCTGACTATCCATTTTAAACTGGTTCTGATGAGAACTTTAATAACGTTACCCAATGTACAGTAGTAAATGGGCCTATTTTACATCCGCCTCTTAATTTCCATACCACGTCTGCTGCCCTACTATTATGCATTAATAAATAATAATGTGATTAGCAAAACCATATCAGTTTTTATGAGAAAGAAGAGATATGTAGTCAAGTGTGGCCATAGCATGGGGCAGTGGAAAAACAATGCTGGACTTGTAATCCACTGAAAGGACTTCACATTCTGAGGCCAAAACTTCTCATCTGCAGGTAACACTGTTTGAACCTCATTTTCATCATTTATTAAATGCAGTTAATAATACCCATTTTGCAACCTCCCAGGTCTGTGTTGAGGATCAAATGAGAATGAAGTTGTGAGAAAATACTGTGGAAATTATAAAATGCTGCTAAAACAGAAGGCACTGGCATTATCGGCACTGTCTTAGTATTGCTGAAGACCTTCCAGATAGCCACTTGTAAAAAGTCCAAAAAAGATCTATTTGTCAAAGTAGACCAACTCTACTGATCTAATTTTAAAAAAATATATATTTCTTTATTGATTTCAGAGAGGAAGGGAGAGGGAAAGAGAGACAGAAACATCAATGATGAGAGAGAACCATTGATCAGCTGCCTCCTGCATGCCCCCCACTGGGGATCGGGCCCGCAACCTGGGCATGTGCCTTTGGCTGGAATTGAACCTGGGACCCCTCAGTCTGCAGGCTGGTGCTCTATCCACTGAGCCAAACCAGCCAGGGCTCCACTGATCTAATTTTAAACAGTCTACTCTTGATCAACTTACCTCGATAGAGGGGAAGACTGTTCGGTTCTTGGGATGTGAATTCACAGATACAGACAAACAGCCTCTCTCCTTCTTTTAGGCTGGGAATGGTCACAATTTCCACAAAACTACTGGGGAACTGTCCTGAAAATAAAAGCAAACATTTTGAAAAAAAATTTTATGCCTATGTACCAGGACAAAAATTGTTTTTCTGAGCCCATTACCAATTAAAAACTCAGTGAGAAAATGCAATTCCAGCCAATGAATATTTACTGGATGTCACTTATGCCAGGAGCACTGCAAAGGGGAGGAGGAGTAAAGACAGTCTTGGCCATCAGAGATCTGAAAATCTAATTCAGACAAGATCTAGTTCAGACATAAACAAAAATTCAGTTCTAAAATCCAGTGTCACAATACAGGTACACAAATTACTATGTGATTTCAGAGAAGGGAGAGAATGGGTCAGGAAGAATATGAAAAATTTTATGAAAAAGATAGCATTTGAGTCTAAAGATGGGTAGGTTTTAATAGGTAGAGGCAGACGAGAGACAGAGCCTGTCAGTTGGAAAGCATCAGAAGGTTTAATTGACTCCACCTTCTAAATGTCTCTGGTACCTGTCCACTTACCCCCAGGCCCCCCACGCTGGGCCAAGCCATCAGCATCTCTCGCCTAGCTTACTGCACCAACCTCTCATCCCGCCTCCCTGCCTTTGGTTTTGCCCCTTCCTACCATCTTTCAATTGGCAGCTGAGAGCTTTCTAAAAATCTGATAAATACCTTAAAGCACATGAATGGTTTCTATTTCTGTGACTCCTTACCATGGCAGTCTGTCCTCCATGATCTAACTTCTGCTCATCTCCCAAGCACTATCCCCCTCCTCCACCATTCACACTTCATGCCGTACTGAACTTTTCTCAGTCCCTCCGTGTTCTCTCTCCTTCCAGGGCCTTTGAACAAGCAATTCTCTCTGCCTATCCTCTTTGCCTTGCTAACTCCTACTCCTCATTTTGTCTCAGCTAAGATATCATATCTACTGGGAAATAACCGATCATCTAACAAATGTGGGCTAAGTGTCAACAGGGTCTGCTCTAAGGACTGAATAACATACTCCAACCCAGAGTTACATAAACATATGTAAGTTAGGATGGCATTTAACATAGACGCATAGTGTGTGTGTGTGGGGGGG